TTATACAAATGTCTAGAATATTTGTCTGGTATGTTTTTGACAATTTTCTGAAACCTGACCCACAATAGATTCTCACTATTAGAAGTCAATTGGTGTGTTTAGTAGAGAGAGATTTTCATGAAGTATGAATCAAGCTATGACTTTACCTATGTGTTCATGATAGTATTTTTCTCAGGGTACAGAATAAGCATATAGCAAGCAAAATATTTACATGCTGCTTACATTGTGTGAAGGTGATTGGCCAATCTGCATTTTATTGGAAAAAATACTAGATTTATGGAATACGTGGAATCACAGTTACCTAGTTAACTATAGTGATATGAATTCTGAAGAGCCTACTATTAGATCATTTACAAGTTTCTTTATAGTTCTCTGTATTTGATGGCTCTTTCTCTTTTTTTTTTTTTGGTATTATTTTTCAGCTGGCCGGTAAGGGATTTGAATCTGTGACCTTGGGTTTACAAGGCTGAGCTCTAACCGACTGTGCTAATCTGCCAGCCCTTGACAGGTTTAGAAAGTACATTTTGAATTGGAGCATGGAAATGAAAAGTTGAAACTGATTATGTGTCATTTCCTTATTTCTCCCTTACGCATCCACTTTTTAAACATTTCCACAGGATAGTGGAAGTTAGTGGAAAGCCTCATCAGGGTGTTGGTGCAGTGAGCGTGGGAGCCGGTCTCTCAGCCTAGCTTGTGACTGAACTCAGGGAATCCTCTCCTTCCATCAAGCCTGGCTCAGCCCATTAGGTTCTGATGTGTATACTTTGTTCCTTTTGATGTTGTTACGTTTCTTTTTCTCTTGTCATCTGAAACTAATTTGTGTACTGTACTGCTAACTCACATCTTGAATTAATGTAAGGAAATTTGGGTCATTGGCCCATGGAGTGAGGACCAGGACATTTTGTTACTAATTTGGAGGCTAGATTCACAGACTTAAAAACGCTCCTAGTAGTGATTAGGGCTTTGGCTTTTTTTTTTTTTTTCCTTCAGAGTATATAACTGCTTTCTCCGGCCTTTGGAGATGGATGTGTGGTTCTCTCCTAGGAATCAGGTTTTTCATGAATTTGGCCAGTGTGTGTCTTAGTATAGGCTGGGGCCAAAATACTGTGGAAAACCTCTTTAGACTCAGAGTAGGGGAAGCAAAATAAGAGGAAAAGTAATAAGCCAATTGCCTGGGGAAATGTAAAAACTGAAGACTCTTTATAATATTTTTTTAAAATAAGGTTTTCTTAGGGGCCGGCCTGTGACTCACTTGGGAGAGTGCGGTGCTGATAACACCAAGGCTGCGGGTTCGGATCCTATATAGGGATGGCCAGTAGGCTCACTGGCTGAGCGTGGTGCTGACAACACCAAGCCAAAGGTTGAGATCCCCTTACCGGTCATCTTTTCTAAAAAAAAAAAAAAAGAAAAAAAAAAAAAAAGAAAAAAAAAAAAAAAGAAAAAAAAAAAAAAAAAAAAAAAGTAAAAAATAAAATAAGGTTTTCTTTAAAATCTTGCGGACATATTTGGAATTAAATGTTTTACTAACAGTAAGAACTGTTCGTTTTGTTCCCAGAGTGCCCAACCCCCAACCCTACTATGTAGCTGAGGAGTTGATGGTAACGCTGGGCCTTGCTAGCAGGTAGAGAGGGGAGTTAACCGCAAGTGCTCACATGGCATCCTTTCCCTGTCGATCAAAAGAATAGAACTGGCTGGGCATGAAGCATTTGTGGTTTTAGTGTTAGGATGTGTGGTTAGGGGGAGAGGTTGTGAGGGCCTGTGGTTGTTACCAGATTCTTTGAAATGGAAGTATGGGTAAGAACAAAATGAAGAATAGGAGAGAAACCTTGGAGCTCTGTGTGTGTGGCGGGGGTGGGGTGGGGGGTAGTTCAGAGGATTAGGAAAATGCATTGTAGCAGAGATAATCTATTTTCCATTTGTTCTGATTAGTTTTGCAGCACATTCTTCATTCGTAAAGGGTAATGGTTTCAAGAGTGGATTCATTACAAGATCTCTGTGGTGTGGGGGGGGACAGTGTGGATGTGGTACACCCTTGTCTAAAATGCCTGAGTCCTGTGATAGATTTGGCTGGCTCTGATGTATGTCTGTCCAGGGGAGAAGGAATCCAGACCAAGAAAGCAAGTGTTTCGTCAGGGTGGTTCCTCCTGAGACTTTCTGATTGAGAGGAAAGTGAGTTATAGCTCATTAATCCAGAGATCATACAGCTGGCCCATTCAGATACCCTCTCAGTGGATACTCAGCCAATGGTCAAGGAAGACAATGCAAGGCACATGGAGAGCTTCTGAGACTTCTCAGAGACCATTCCTCTCTGTCTTTCTGGCTTCCCAGCCAAAAGGAAATTTTAAGATAGCAAATTTAGGCTATGCCCCTGAGATTTGAGGGCTGTGGTTAGCAGTCCTGCCTAATGAGGAAGAAAGAGAAATAAAAAACTAATTAAAACTAAGCAGAAGAACTCCAAGTAGGAGTGAATATCTTGGGATGCATAAGGTCTAAATGCTTCAGTTAACTCCCTAGTATATCACCTTATGACTGAACACAATATCATAGGAAACAATGATCCAGAATCCCCAAGGAAAAGTAAAGTTATGGCTAGTCTAGTCTGCTCTTTAAAGTAAGAAAATGTGTGTTTTCTATCCACAATCATTACAAGTAAAGCAAGCTGTGGTTCTCAAAGTTAACTGTATGGATGGTAAGCCTTCCACATTCATGGCTCCATCTTTTAATTTGTTAATGGAATTAAAAATTTTGTCTGCTCTAGTCAAATAGGTATGTAACATTCCTGTGGTCTCCTCAAAGTAGTCGAGTCACACCTGTTGAAAGTTGAGTACATGTGTGGTTTTGTCTGCATTACTGTACTCTGGACTAATGGAAAGACCTGTAGAGGCTGAAAGAACCTAGTTGCAGGCCCTATTCCTTCCACCTTGCTGCCTGACAAGAGAGAACAGGTTCCATCCTTATGCTTGTCTATGAGATGGCCAGAACTGTGCCGTGCAGGAGATGGTTTGGCACTCATTAATATTAGCAGAGGGGAAGGGAGAAGGCAGAGAGCCATAATCTGCACCACACCCTCTAGCAAGTATCCTGGAACTCCTTTGGGAGGAGTGAGGAAATGGTAGAAGTGTGAGCATAGAGTGCTTCTTCATCCCAGATGCTTATATGCAGACCCCCTGTTGTAAGTTACTGCCCTGTTTATCCAGCCTGCAATTTTGAAGAAACATTAAATAACACATTACACTTAAGAAATAGGCCTGTGTAGTATCATCAGTTTGAGTAGCCACTTTCCTCATGCATTATGTAGGATAAAGTATATTAGAAATAAAATTTAGAAAAACAAAAAACAAAACAAAAATAAGCAAAGAGATAAAATTGAAATGGTTATTTTCCATCTTTTGACCTATTCAAAAGTCAAACAATTATGATAGTGTCAGGGGGATTATCTTAGCTTTATTGGAGAAGAATCTGTTTTCTACATCAGGATAAACTATTGGGCTTTGGACTTTGGACTTTTATTTGCTTAGGAACTGAGTAATTGCCTCATAAAACAGCACGATGGTACTATTAACACTGAGTTATAAGACCTGTTATTATAAAATGTGCTTCCCTAGTCGGGACAAGACTTCATTGTTTGGTGTTTAAAATAATTAGTTTCCCCAAATGGGGGTTATAATGAATAGTGTAAAATTTTACCTATTTAAAATAAAAAAGTTTATAATCTCTTGGGTGGCTTTTATGTATCATTTTGATACTTTCAGAGAAGAGGTTTCTTTTGGGTGGGGTATTTAATGTTCAGAATAGAGGTGTTTAAGAATGAGAAATTTTATTTCTGTCATACCACTCTGAGACAAATTTGAGGCAATCATTAAAGGATTTGCCCCACTGTTTAGTCTGATTTGTATATTGAGTATTAAAGGATTTGTTGACCAAATTTCCTTGAATTTGAAATTTGGGGGGACTTTATTATGAATGATAAAAAATTTAACTGTGAACTATATTGCCATTTGTTTCTGAAATCATGTAAAACTGTGTGTGTATTTTTATATTTGTTTATCCTCCCTTGTCCATGCTGCTAAACTTCTTGTGCCACAAATTTTCGGCATAACTGAAGAATATGTAAATACTTCCTAAGGAACAAGTTAGAATTATAAGTAGGAATTTACTGTTATTTTCATACTGTTGTATTGAAAAGCTAAATGTTAGTGGCAAGTACCATTATGGAATGAAAGTAGACTTTGTGTTATTTCAAATATGTGTGGATTTCATTTATTCTGTGGAAACAATGGAATCTGCCTCTCAGCCAGACTGCACAAGGTGCTAATGGGTATGTCTGAGGTACAGGAAAACTCAGGATGTGCACAAGTGATAGAGATGTCAGTATGCAACAATTTAAATCCAAGTCAAAGAAATGATGGGGGATAGATAATTAGAACATGAGTAATTACCAAATTAATGGCAAAGTCAGAAATTGAAACAATTGCAGTATAGGTAGCTAACTTTTATTTACTTCCTTGGATTAACTGTTTATGAATATTATTTTGATCCTAATGGAAGGGGAAAACTGTTTTATGGTTAACAGTTAGAGATCATTCTCTTTGGACTTATGTTTTGGTAATTACCCTAAAGATAATGATATCACCAGTTTTAGTTTGTTACTTTTACCTTCTCCAAATATTATCTTACCTCATCCTCATAAAGATCCCTGGGGTAGGGTTGTTACTATCATTCTTACGTTTTTTAAAACTTACAACTACGTGGTAAAGCTGAGGCATGAGAAGTGATGTCCCGTGGCCTGTTGGAGACTCCAGTCTTTGGTCTCCTAGTTCAGGCTACTTGTTTGCCTTTGCTGCACCCTTCTTCAGGGCTGACACAATAATATAATGCTCTGTGAATAGAATAATGTGGGTTTCAGCAGACCTCATGATGGAGCACTTCGATTGTGGCTTATGTTACAGTTGATTTTTGTGGTCTTGAGTCCTTTTTAAAAAATGGTGGTTCTCTTGCAGGAAGCCAGTTGAGGGAAATTCTCCATGAATGTACGTCACAATGATGATGACCGACCAAATCCCTCTGGAACTGCCACCATTGCTGAACGGAGAGATACCCATGTTGCCTCACTTGGTGAATGGAGATGCAGCTCAGCAGGTTGGTGTAGTAAGAAGGAATCTAAGTCAAAAGGCCTAACTGGGAAACAGTAACCAGTAGTTGTTTGTTATGGCATGTAAAGATTTGTGATTTTGAACTTTAGTATTTCTAGAGGTAAGTGTTTTTGTTGTAGCATTACTGTGTGTTTTTTAAAAAAATGTCAGAAATTGTGGTTTTTGAGAATAGCAAATCTTACCTCTCGTCCAGTTAGTATTCTTGAAGCATCAAGAATACATGATGTTTGAAATGAGTCATTTTGAGAATATGTGCAAGTCTTTGGAATAAAATGACTGTTTATTCATGTCTTATGTTGTGCTTGACTCGTTTGCTTGGGTGGCCAGAGCAGCATGCTCAGAGGGTTCAGTTTTGATTTCAAGAGGCACAGGTCGGTGTGAACCTACCTGGGCTCCTGGAACACTTCTTCCAAATGAGCAGCTCGTAAAATGACAGTACTTATTTTCATTAAACCTCCTTTGTCAGTAGTTCTGAACATTACAGAATAGAAATGTTATTTCTGAACTCAGTCAAGTAGTACTTGGGGAAAAAAATTTAGACAGTAAAACTTTAAAAAAAAATTTTTAGGGACTGAACTATTATCTCTGATAACATTAATTTAAAGTTTTTTTATTGACTGTAGAAACCGGGTTTGCTCAGTCTTATGACTAAATAAATATCTTGTCTTTGTGCATTTCTTTAGAAGCATGAAAGTGTTTGTTTAATGCAAAGTAGCATTGGGAACAATTGCTTGAAAAATATTTACCCAGAGTATATTAATAATCCAAATAAGTTAATCAGTCATCTTTCTGATGTCAGTACACGCCCTTCACCCCAATCTGTCATAGTACATCACCACTCTTTATCTGTCATAGTACATTAATATTTTGTATATACCTCTGTTGGATCTTCTGCTTAATAATTTATATTACTTTTTCTTGAATTAGACTGTGAACCTTTTAAGAACAAAAAACATCTAACAGGTGCTCAGTAAATGTGTCAGTTGATTAATATCATCCCTTCTCACCACTGATGTAGGTATCTCCCTTCCAGATTCCTCAGCCTCTTTCTCTGCTGGATCATTTCCACTAACTTACTGTAGTATCTTCTGTCTTAAAGACATAAACAACTGTATCTCTCCCCACCCAACAAAACAAAGTCCTCTCACTCGCTTCCACACCCCCTTGCAGTCGCCAACTCCTACCTCTCTCCCACTTTATTCTCTAAGTAGAGCCTGTACTTTCTGCCTCTCCTTCCTCACCTCCCGTTTGTGTGCATCTCCAGAGTCTTCACTTCCATTTTCTTGACTTCCTTTTCCAGTCCGTCAGCACGTCCCGTTGGCTTTGTCTCAGGGCTGTTTGCTGAACCCCTGCATTGCCATATCCACTGCATTTCCGCTGCCTCTCCTGACCCCCAGGCCGTCTTCTCACCGGGGCAGGACAGTCCTTCTCACTGGTCTCTCCGCTATTGCTTTTGCCCCACCAGAAAGCGTTTTCCACACGGCAGCCTGAGCGATCTTTTCAAAATATAACCTGTGTTATGTCATCCTGTCACACTTGGAATAAAATCCAATTGCAGGACCTGGCCTGCCAGTCTTCTGCGGTCAGTGCTGGCCTTTCCTCATCATTCTCTGACTGCTCTTGTGCCCATCGTGTTCCAGCCATTCCTGGGAATGTTTCAAAGTGCCCTGAATTGTTTCGAGATGTGGTGTTTGGTCACCCTTCTTCGTACCAATTAAAAGAATAAAGAAAAATATTCAAATGTGACTGAACTTGGTCTCCCAAATGTAGTCATCGGATTGTCATTTGCATATGTAGCCAGGAGACCTGAGGTCACCTGTCCAGGTTGTGCACCATTTTTGTGTTTTAATGACTTCTCCTTCATTTCTAATATTGAATTTGCCTGGAATTTTTGTAGTTTATTAGCAGTATAGAGAGCCCTTAGTTAGAATTTGCCAGTTTTCCCTTTGGAAGTAAATTCCTTCATGCATGGAAGTGACAGAGACTGAGAATGTGGACGTGCTCAGAAGGCCGTGTGGCACGTCCCTGCTTCATATATCTTATCTCAACTTTCTTAAAGCGGTGATACGTGTATTCTAAGAAATTTCATAGGAAGGAAGTGTTTCAGTCTTTTTAATTAGTAAATATGTTTGATTGTGCTAGAAGCATTTACATTTATAGGTTATGTGGGCCAAGCTATTGATTGGCATTAACCTTAATGGAGCAAAATTGCTAAGTGGGCAAAGTGTATTTGAAATATCTTCCTCAGCAGGACCAACCCAAGATTTATCATGCCTCTACATTACTGTGGCTCAGCCTAGGTAGTGGCCGATGTGCCTGACATTTTTCTTCCTCTTTCTTCCCCCAGCATACCCATCCTGTGTCTCCCTCATTCCTTCAAGCCCCTGCTATTTCCTTTGGATCTTAACATTTAGCATTGTCCTAGGAGAGTGTGGCAGAGCCATGGGGCCTGTTTGTGGAACCTAGGCTAAGGCACAAGGGGAAGACAGTCCGAAGGAGCAAGCAAAACTAAAACTGGAGATATATATACCAGAGATGAAGTAGGGAAAAGGGAGGGATAGAGGGTGTATTAGTCCATTTCTGTTGTTTATAACAAAATTCATGGAACTGGGTACTTTATAAAGAAAACAAAATTTATTGCTTAAAAATTCTGAGGCTGGGAAGTCCAAAGTCCAGGGAACACATTTGGTGAGAGTCTTGGTGGTGGTGACAGTGACTGCAGAGTATCACATTGTGAAAATGGTGGAGCAGAGAGAGACAAACTCCTGGGTAATCTTCTCATATGCTCTCCTTTTAAAGCCCTCAGAACCATGCCCCTGACCACCATTTTTAATCCATTCACTATGGCATGGTCCTACAATCTAATCACCTCTTCAAGGCCTACCTTTCAATTACCATAATAGGATTTCCCACCCTCAGCAGTTACAGTGAGCGCCAAGCTTCTAATACATAAAACTTGGGGGATACAATTCAAGCTTCAGTGAGTTTGGGGGTACATTCAGTCCATGGCAGAGGGTCACTCAAATGAACAAGGAACAAAGGTGAGTCTCCAAGACAGGATCCAAGAGCTTGGGACTGTGTGAGTTTGAGTGCTTGCTCAAGACATCTGGTGGTATTTGTTGTTTGCCTTTAAGAGCCTGCAGGGTATGGTGCTCAGGTAGTTCTAAAGGATCAGGACACAGAGGATGTACCAGACAAAGTGTTCTATATGAATGTCTTCTTAGGCCTTTACTGTGCTTTCCCTCTTAACAAGAATCTTCTGGAGGTACAAGATGGACTTCAAGGATGGACATTGTAAACATCATATGACATACCCTTGGGGGTGACATTTTAAGGTAGATGGCACATTAACCACCTCTCAAATAATACTGTTGTGAAGAGTCACCCACTGGCCATGGGGGTTCTGCCTCTAAATATCTGTTAGGAGTGTGTATGGTAAAGCTTACCTTGTATGTGTTTACAGTGTTCTTAATACTTTGCAGCTGTGCAAAGGACATTCTAAATACTTCTATATATGCAAAAGAACCACCACAGTTATGAGAAAACTCTCCAGTTCCCACAGCCCTCCTCCCTGATTTCTGTCCTGATGGTTTCTGGATTTAATTAGGACTAGTTCTTGGCAAGATTCTCTGCTGTGATCTGGCTCTCTAAATAAGAGACACTGTTAATTTTCATTATTTGAAGTCACGTTAAGTTTGAAGCCTTAGTTTGTCGTTTTTTGTAGGTAGCAGGAAAAGAGGCGTGAAAAGGGTAATTCTTTCCTTAAAAACAGAAGTCATCCTCATTATGAGCGAAGCTTTTAAAAAAAAATATTATCAGCTACAAAATGAACACTACCACAGCGTGGGCAGAAGCAACTTAATAGATTTATTTATTTAATAGCTTTATTGAGATATAACTCACATGCCATACAATCAAAGGAATTTAGTATATTCACAGAATTGTACGACCTTGACTACAATTAACTTTAGGACATTTTTATCACCTGAAAAAGAAACCCTGCAGCAGTTGCTCTCTATTTCCCCTACATTCCTAGGCAACCACTAATCTATTTTCTGTCTTTGTAGATATTGCCAATTCTAGACATTTTATTTAAATGAAATCATGCAGTATTTGTTTTTTTGTGTCTGGCATCCTTCACTTAGTATAATGTTTTCAAGATTTATCCATGTTGCAGCATATATCAACATTTCTTTTTAATTACCAAATAATGTTCTATTGCATGGATATACCACATTTAATAATCCATTCATCAACTAATAGACATTTGGGTTGTTTCCACTTTTTGGCTATATGAATAATACAGCTATGAACATTCATGCATAAATTCTTATGTGGACATATATTTTTATTTCTGTTGCATATATAACTAGGAGTGAAATTGAATAGTTTTATTTTGAACTATTGTTTTCTGAATAAAGTATCTCTGCTTTTCTCAGGTAGTTTGTTCTACCTCTGAATTTATGGCCCAATATATGTAGATAAACTTGCTTCTTTTAATATGCCTAATTGTGTACTATGCTTGAATTAGAAAAATCAGGTTTCGACCTGAGTTTTTAATGTGTGTCTATATAAATTGTGGTGAATATCCTTCAGTAATCAGAAAATTGGTGCCTATGTTGAACTTAATGGTATATTAATTTAACTGTCTTTGTTATGGACTTTTAGCACATCTTAGACATTAAAAATATGACAGGTAGTTTTAAACACAAAAGAATAATCATAATTTCTGACAGTTTTTTTTAATGCTTTAATATTTTAATAATCTCTGAAGAAGAATTACAGCAGCCACCAGTTATATAAAGAAATCATTAGGTTAAGAGCGGAAGTGTTGACATAGGGTGACAGAGCTTACTGATTTGCTAATTTAACCTGTGGCATAACCTCCATGAGAGTAGTGTGCTACCTTATATTCTTGTATTCTTAGTGACTCTTCTTATGTACATATTCATTGAGGGTCAGTCCCTTGTGGAGTAGGGACTAGGC